AACTCTCATATTGAGGTTATAGAGGAATCAAAAAGAATTGTTTTAGAAAACAAATAACACATTTATTTCAATGCAGTTGAAATGACGGTATATACGATAACACATATCATATACAGCGTGACTCACGGTCGATGGTGGGTTAGACGTTTCTGGAAAACGTCTATCTAAAATATTTTCAGCATTGCGGCGTTGCCACTTCCATCAAAAAGTCCTAGCAACTTTATTTTTTTAAATGGAACACCCCGTATATTAATACATTTTTGGAATCGCTCTGGTATTTTAATACTTTTTTGTTAATAATGTCCTATACTGTATATCTATATATACTATATATCTGTTTTCGAGAATAAATTGTGCTAAATATGGTCCAAAACATAGCATTAATTGAAATTAAGTACATCAGTACTCTCAATTCATGAAAAGTTGATATTTTGATGATAGTTTGGACAAACTCGAAATATTCAAATAACACCAAGAAATCGACTCCATATCATACAGGGCGTGCTAAAATTACTATTATTTCCATTGTGCATAAAAGTAGTCAAAAGTTCATGTTTTCAAATAAAACCCCCTGTATATTACTCGATAAATTAAAAGATGGTGAAAAATGCTTCAAAATGATATTCATGTCCCTATACCTAAATCGTCAAGTTTTCTCAATAAAGTCTCAATACCGCAATTTTCCATGATAAAAACTCACATTTTCAATACACACTAACATTATTCTCACATGTACACATATGGTCCTTAGAGTCGTTATTTCATTGATGCGGGTGAGTGCCCTATTGGAGGGATATTTTGTGACCTGAGTAGGGCGTTTGATTATTGCATTAGTCACGGAATCTTATTGAATAAACTGTCTAGGTACGGAATCCGTGGTGTCACTCATGAATGTATAAACGAAAATTTGAGTGAACTTGTTAATCTAGTCATTATTGGTAACCATCTGTCATCATGCAACAATTATTCTGAAGTAGGTGTTCCTCATGGCTCGATCCTAGGACCTACCTTATTTTTGCTCTATATTAACGATGTCTTACACATGACACAATAATAAAGAATCAGCTGAATTCTTTCTAGGGTTCGAATATCCAAAGACTTTCTTGTCTCACTAGCTCCTCAATTATTTAATAAATTATCAGACTGCCTGGAAGAGTCGAACCTCAACGTGTTTTAAACACTTATGATGCACTGTTTGGAACCTTTGGTGTGGTAATGAATATTCCTGGAGTTTTTTCCCAACACTTAATTGTTATTTTTAATACCTCGACACGTGTTTCGATCACCAAGTAATCACCTTCAAAGAGGAAGATTAAACAGTTTAATTTTCCTCTTTGAAGTCACAAAATGTATAATCAATATTGATAATTTCAATCAAACATTGAGTAAGCAAAATCTTATATAAATCATTCGATTTCCTTTTCAAGATAACCCGAGAAATCGAGATAAATGGAAAACTGGCAAAACTCGAAACTTGAATCAGCATTTCAGAATTTTTAACTATATTCTCTGTACTATACTCAGTCACACCACCCATTGTTTCTACCAACAACATGACGTAGTGATTGATCTCCAGATTTAATTATTGTCGTTTCTTTGACTTCTGGACTATAAAAGCATATCCAATCTTCAGAAACTAAAACATTTATGATGAGATTCCAGTTGTATATGATGACATTCTATATCTGCGAATGACAACAAGAACGTAGAGAAAACAGTACATTCCAGCGACTTATTAGCACAATTAAATCAACGATAATGATAATGGCTTTCCAGAATGGGAGGTGATAAATCGAATCCATCAATCTATTGATTGGAAATGAGTACAAAGTACATTACTGAAACAGTTTGAATTTATTACTTCTTTGTTGAAAAATAACCTCTCTCTCTCTCATCTAGGAATAAAATCATCCGATCACCTTTCAGTAGGTATAGTCGATATAGTTTCAGCTGACTTTTTTCGAATTTTTTGCAGCGGTTCATGAAACTAAACAGATTTTCTAACAACTTTCACAACTTTTTTCTGAATTTTTTTATATGCAGGAAAATGCTCAAGTATGGATTATTTTGTATCTAAATACCTCCGCCCCTACTTTTCCAGTAAACCATTAGAACCCTTCTGATTGAAACTGATAATTCCATGTATTTTTCTTACCTATTGCGAATATGTTATTATAATTTTTTTAATTAACACAGTGGTTGACAATCTTTCATGGTGAATTTCTTTAGTTCGGACTTTTATTGTCTAATTGATATTGTTTGAAATCTCGTTAGGACAACAAGATGATTGTTTCGAATACTTGGGATTTTTGTTGAATACGCAGGAAAATAGCAAAATCAATACTTCTGATCGCTCTGGATTGAATGATTCCGTACAGTCTGTCTGTAGTCGATTTGTAGATCTTTCGCTGGAGAAATCCTCACTAATTGACTTTGTAGTACATATTCAAGAGGTAGGAAAAACGAGCACAAGAAACACACACGGCGAGGGGAAACCAGCAAGTCAAGAATAGCAGAGCATGTTTGGACCCATCAACATAACATCAAGTGGTCCCAAGCTGAGATCATACACAGGGAGGAACACTGGTTTAGGAGGAAATTTAAAGAAGCCGCATACATGTTGTCCAACAATGTATTCATCCAAGCATATTGGCCTGAAAGGCAACGAGGCTGCTAACTCCCTTGCAAAGAAGGGTGCTGCAAGCAGCTTCATCGAACCAGAACCTGTCATCGGCATCGCTTTAAGCTTTACCAAACAAAGATTGAATACCTGAATGGCAAGCAGATTTGTGGAATTCTGGCAGAATCTTCCAGGATTGGCTCACTCTAAGGCGTTTATTCACCCTTCGAAGCTTGATACCAAAGAGTTGTTGGGCAACAGTATGAACTACGATGTCTAACAGGCCTTCTTATAGGATATTGAATCATCATATGCAGAGACTCTGTTCAGAAAATGATGAAACAGTAGAGCACATACTTTGTGCCTGCCCCGCTGGGGAGCGAATCAGGTTTTTAGAGTTCGGCAGAGCCGTAGTCTTACCATCTAACCTGAAAGACCACTCACCATACAAACTAATCGGCTTCGTTAAGAAGCTGGGTTTATTTGGTCGAGTGTGAATTGGTGTGAGCCACAATAAACCCTTGTGGGTTGCGGTGGAGGGTCGAATAGACCCACTCACGTTGGACCTAACCTAACTTAATCTAGCGTAGACCAGAATGTCATCGTCAATTCTTTCAGGTTTGGAGTCCAGCTCCCCTACCCTTTCGACTAATTGTTGGTCTTGAGAGGGACCAATGGGTTCATGACTGAT